CCTCCAATCCCAAATTTACAGCAACTTTCTAATACTATGGATCCAAATTTACAATCAGGATTAGAAAAAAATTCTTTGTTGCCTTCTCCAGATTTAAATAATATTGCAACAGATCAAACACATGCACACGTGTCTACAACAAATCAAGTGATTCATAATGATAATGATGATGATAATAATGATGATGATGGTGATGATGATAATAATAATGATAATGATGATGATGGTAATAATGATAATGATGGTAATAATAACGATGATGGTAATGATGGTAATAATAATGATGATGGTAATAATAATGATGATGGTGATAATAATTATAATGGTAATGATTCATTGTCACCGGGCTCAGTAATAAAATACCCATTAGTAACAAACTCACCCATACAACAATCCATGCAATGTAATGATGATCCACAACTATCTCCTCAGAATTAATAATAATAATTTGTATTTTTAATAGATTTTTTTTAATTAATAATAATAGCAATAACTTTACATATGATTGTTAAAATTTTTTTAGAATTATTCTTATCATTCTTATTATTGATTAATTGAATTACACTCAACCCCATAAATACACACCCTTTCTAAATGCACACTTTCACTCATTTCCAAGCTTGGGGTTTAAGAGATAAGTGCACCCCTCTATACCTGCACTGCACAGTCTTTTTTCATTCCCAACTATATAAAACCACCCCACGCCCGTGAATTTCACATGATTTTATTATTAATCGTGTAACCTTGGAAAATTTTTACAATTGCATATTGTCAAAATTAATTTGGCTTTGACTTAATTCCCAAAATCTCAATTTTTAATTGCATCTTGACTCAATTACTTATATGTTTTTCACATGACTCAATTAATTGCATCAAAGAGGCACCCAATTGAGTCAGGTGTAAGCATGTTGGCCGAAGTTGGCTCTCTTAATATTAATAAATGATCATCACTGAATCTGAAATGTTGAAATAATTTTCATAGATGCTAAAATTATATCTAAAATTATTTGGACTCTTTAACTAAATACCAAAAGCTGGTAGATTTTTTATGTCAATTGATATAAAGAATATTGTAAATCCAAAATTGCTTGCCAAAATTGATTTTTTCAAAACCATTTGGCCAACATCCTTATCAACCTATTTCTACCATAGTTAACAAGTTTGGAAACTGTTCATGCAATGAACAACCGAAATCAGTTAATTCTCTTGAAAAATATATTAATTTAAAAAAAATAGATACAATGGAACAAATTACAATAGATAGATTCATATGACTTCTATACGAACTCCCGTTATAATGACATTTTTTTCTTGTACGGAGAGTGTTGTTATAACGGGAGTGACTTGTATTATGATATTTCCAATAATTAATTCGTTGTTATTCATAATTAATTTCGTCACTCGCAATACGGTAATTAATTTCTAATTATGATTTTAAAGAGGAAAATGGTAATTAATTACGATAATTACGTATTATGTACTTACGATAATTAGGCAATTACAATCCCATGTATAAATTACAATAGTAATTAATTCGTCATCGGTAATTAATTTCGTCATCCGTAGTTAATTACGTAATTACGTTTTTAAAGAGTGAAAGTGGCAATTAATTACGTTAATTACGAATTACGTATTTACGGTAATTAGCTAATTACCATCTCATGTATATGCCTGTCATATTGGAAGCCCCATCACTTCCAAAAATGAATTATTTTGTGATATGATATTTCATTTGAAATACAAAATGATAAGAGTTGGTTATAAATATTTTTTGCAGTGGTAGATTCTAGATTAATCATGCCCAAATATCTCATATGAGGAATATTGTTAACAATATATTTTCCCATGATTGCTAAATATTTATTGTTATCAATACTGTTGGCTTCATCAATCATTATACTCCAATAAATTAAGGAATTCAATTCTTCAAAAAATGATTGTTTTATTACAGAAGCTATACTATCCAAAAAATCAGAAGCAGATTTAGGATTTGTATAGCTCCCATATGTTGATCTAGGAGTATATGTTTTTTCTAAAGCAGTAGGTTTCAGATTAGAAGTTTTTTCAGTAATTATTAATTTATTATTTTTTTCAAATTGTAATGTCATTAATTTACATAGATCAGGATAAATATGAGAGGAAAGATTTTTGTTTAAATAAAAAATAATAATTTCTCATTAATGAAATAATTGCTAATTGATTTTTATTTATTTCATTTTGAAGTTGGGTGATTCTGATGTTTCATGTTCATTGGTTTTTAAATGTCTTTTAATTCCTTCTAGACTTAAATCTTTGTGCCTTGTGCAAATTTTGTACTTCCATTTCTACTTCTACAGAGTTTACAAAAAAGGACTGTATCTTCATTTTCTTCATCTTTTTCTAACCATGTATAATCATGAAACCAATTTTTGTTAACAGTTTTCTATTATGTTTTCATTGGTTAAGCATTTTTAAATGAATGAATAACAATAAAAAGTTGTTTTTTTTTATCTTGATTTGATTTGAATTGAAATATTGAATTTTAAAAAATCAATAAGCATCAACGACAAAAAATGGAATTATTCTAGTGTGTTTGTTTATTTTCGTTATCAATAAAGATTGAATTAATACCCGAAACTATCAATGACTTATTGTTAATATTAATAAAAAATGGAATTATTCTAGTATAATAAATAAAAGTATATTTGTTTATTTTTCGTTATTATTATTAATAAAAATAGAATTATACCCGAAACCGATATTGTTAACAAAAATGGAATTTTTAGTTATCAATAAAAAATTATACTGACAATAAAAATGTAATTAAAATATTAATTAGTTTTCAATTTGTTACACAAATTTTCTGCTAATGGATTATTGGCTACCTTTAATGTAACACACGTGCCCCGCACTCAATTCACGCACCGCGAACAACTCACTTGCAACTGAAAATATTACTGACAAATTCGTTGCTTCTACTGCTGAATGCCTACAATTTACACCTGCATAAGTAAATGAGTCGTAAACATTTTTTCCCATCATCAAATAATTTTGTTGTTCCTCTTTCTTCTTTTGCGCAGCTTCTTCTTTGCAAGAGGAAGAAGAAAAAGAACCAAATAAAGGTTCAATTAGTAGATCGTACATTTCGGGTTTGAATGGTAGTCACTTACTGAAAGGACTATTAGTAGAATATATTATAATCGACGTATGCCTATAAAAATTTATTTATGGCAAGAGTTTCAGTAGATCTTGGCATGATATGGAAATCTAATTAGTGTAAATAACCCATATTAACATGGTAATTGAGTAAACATTTGAAATTTTATTTTGGTAAATGTTTCATTGTCCACACTGCTATATGTAGTATCTGTGCGTAAATTCTCACAATCTAATAAACATAATGGAATAAAATGGAAGACAAGGTTTTCGTCTTTTCGAAAAAATGAAAATTTTCGTTACATTGTTTAATTGTTTAAATTGTAAATTGTCTAAATTGTAAATTGTTCCGTCTTTTTCAAAAGAAAGGATTTATTATTGTTGTTTTGCTTTGTCTTACATTTCACGCATTTAATATTCTTTTTTTAAATTCATTTAAATTCTTGTTAAATTCTTGTTTAAATTCTTGTTTAAATTCTTGTTAAATTCTTGTTAAAAAAATATTAAATGTTTTTGGTAAACAAAAGATTTTTTATTTGCTACAAACGCATTTTTGAAAATGTAGATCACGCCAATATTAAGAGTAAGTAATTAAAAATCTGCAAGTGACACAGAAAATTTTCGATTTCATGCGAAATACCAAAATAGGTTGCTCCCAAAAACTCCGTCGATCCTTGATTTCATCATAAAAATCATTCGATTAAAAGACGGAAGAACCTTAATCAACTTAACGTTAACCAATAATACAATTATAGATGACGAAAGTACTTTTGATGAGAATGGAAAATTAAGATATGGAAATCAATCTAATAATTTCTTGGATAACGTTCTGGAATTTTTATGATGATGATGGTATTCATGAAATTATGTTGGAAGAAGAGAGATGATAAATTTGCGTCTTTAGTTGTTTTAAAGCTTGAAAATCGTTTCCAAATTGTCATCTGTTAAATGCTATGAAAATTTTTTATTATATCAGAATGGTTACCAAATGTGAGGAACTCAATCAAAGTTGTGGAAGGAATTCACAGATGATGAGAAGCAAACCTTTTATCAACTTATATAATACTGCTCAGAAATTTTTCAGTCTGAAATTTTCCGCGTCAAATCTATTCTAAAAGGTCAATAATCAGTTATTATGATATATACAAAGATTCTGCTGAACCAATTATTGATCCAGATAATATCGATGACAAAATTTCTCAATTTATCCCAATATCATAAAACTTTTATTAATCCCCTTTTTTCAAGTGTTGAATGCGAGAGAAAGTCTCCAAGGAAAAATTTACAGATCATTGAGGTTTATTAACCAATGAAACATGATTGGATTAGAATGTGATGATTGGACACAAGATTTTTCAGAAATACTGATTTTTACAACGAAAAGATCTGCATAATAATAAAATAAATTTAGCCGTATTGTCGATCATGTAAAAATCATCCAATTAACGCAGTAAAATTTTAGCTTAAATCCAAAAATAATAAAGCCGATTTACCATTACTATTTATAGGAATCATTAAGATAATGATAATCAATCAATGATTTCTCTCGTACCACACACAAATATTTAACAAACAAGCACACACACTTCCCTTTAAGTAAAGTAAAAGGGAATTCTATAATAAGAAATTAATTTAGAATTAAGCATTCATTATTTATTTATTGATTCACCTTACATGTTTATTATTATTTATTTTATCGTTAATAAAGAAATAATCTATAAAATAAAATGTATTTATCCTTCTTTCAAAAAAATTATTTATTGTTAATTTTTAATGGGTTTATATATATATAATTAATTATATATAAAAAATAAAAATTTATCATCAAAAAAAAAAATTAAAATAAAATAAATAAAATAACAATAATGAGTGAATTCCCACGCATTTCATTACCTGTACCTTTAATGAAATCACATTATGATGTGGTAGTTGTTGGTTCAGGTTATGGAGGTTCAATTGCTGCTTCACGCATGTCAAGAGCTGGAAAACGTGTCGCTCTTTTAGAAAGGGGCAAGGAAAGATGGCCAGGCGAGTTCCCACAAAAGTTACACGAATGCGTAAAAGAGTTTCAAGGTTCCATTCAAACAAAATCTCTTGGTCAAAAAACCGGTTTATATCATCTTTATGACGGCGAACAGCAAGATGTTCTTTGTGGTTGTGGGTAAGTAATATAGATGTGCGCGTGTGACGTATTATTTTCGATTGGATTCTCATAAAAAAAATTAATCGAATAATTTAATTATTAATTAGTCTTGGAGGTACATCACTTATCAATGCCAATGTTGCTCTCGAAGCCGATGAACGTGTTTGGAAACAAACTGTATGGCCACGAGAAATTCATGAGGATATGGAAAGTATTAAACGAAGTACGTAATAATAATATAAATTCAATAATAAATATAATGCCAATCATCATCATTCATTATAATAATCATCATCATAACGATAATGTAATAAATTGCAGACTATGATAGAGCAAGAGAAGTAATTCATCCATCCCCATATCCCGAACATTTTCCTGAAGTTCCAAAACTGAAAGCTTTAGAAGAACAAGCCAAGAGATTAGGCGGAGAGTTTCACAAGAACTTTAAACGTCCACCCGTTGCCATCTCATGGGAGGATCGTGTTAATTATGCCGGGGTTAGACAAAATGGTTCAACATTGGTTGGTAATGATGTTTCTGGTAATAACGATGGAAGTAAAAATACAATGTTGATGACTTATATTCCTGATGCTTGGAATCATGGATGTGAAATATTCTGTGAAGTTAACGTGCCAAGAATAAAAAAAGATAGTAAATCTAATAAATGGATTGTATTCTATGAATGGTTAGATGTAAGTATAATTAATTATTAATTAATTACATGAAAAGAATATTTTATCTACTTAATTTATTTATTAACATAATATAAATTTTTATAGACCGAAAGATGTACTTTTTCAGATGAAAGTACAGTGCATCTTTATTTTGTTACTGCAGATTCAGTTTTTATTGGTGCTGGAACTATGGGTTCCAATGAAATTTTATTGAGATCAAAACTTTATGGTTTGCCAACTAGTCCAAATGTAGGAAAAGGTTTTAGCGGGAATGGTGACGTAAGTAGTTGATTAACTAATTGGTAGGATGGGATGGATGGACTGGTGGATGAATTTATTAATGAAATTTTTTTTATTTCAATAGATTTTGGGATTTGCTTTTAATTCAGACATACCTGTTAATGGTAAGATTTTCGTAACACATTATTTTGTGATAAAAAAATATTAGAATTAAATAATTAAATAGTTTATAATTAAATTACAGCTGTTGGAGTTAAAGAACGCACACATCAAAAGAAAGTTGTTGTTGGTCCAGATATATCCGGTGTCATTGACATGCGATTGACTGGTGAAGAATTTGATGGTTATGTGATAGAAGATGGTACGCTTCCGCATGCTATCAGAGCACTCGGTAAACTAGTTATCCATACTACTGATGATTTTTGTGGAGTAGATCCTCCAAATATCGGTATTGGCAAGTCAATAGCTAGAAAATGGAGAAAAATGGTTACAAATCTTGCAGGTGTTTATCAAGGTGCAATGCTGAATACACAAATATATTTAGTCATGTCACATGACGATCATTCTGGTCAAATGGAATTAGTTGATGACAAACTTAAAATTCAATATCCTGGCGTTGGCGAGTCAAAAAATGCCGTGAGAATTAATAATGTGTTGAAAGATGCTGCATTTTCCATTGGCGCATCCTGGGTTTCATCACCAACATGGAGTAAACTCAATCATCGTGGTTTGGTTAGTGTTCACCCTCTTGGTGGTTGTAGTATGGCATCAGATGGTAGTAAAGGTGTTGTTAATCACAAGGGTCAAGTAAGTTTTTATTTTTTGAAAAATAAAAACAAAATCCATACATAGATATATAATTTATTAAATATAAATATTTATTTAAGGTCTTTACAGGCTCTGGTGTAGAAGTTTACAAAGATTTATATATATGTGATGGTTCAATTGTACCAACATCACTTGCAGTTAATCCATTCTTAACTATTTCCTGTCTATCTGAAAGAATTTGTGAACTGGCCGCAAAAGATAATGGTTTGAAAATTGATTATAAACCTGCAGAACAACTTATAGACTTTACAAAACCACTCAAATCATATAGAGATGAAACTCATGAACTTGTTAAACTTTCACGAAAAGGTCCTTTAGAAAAAGGTATCTCCTTCACTGAAGTAATGAAAGGTTATTTCTCAACTGAAATTATTTCTAAAGATTTTGCGGTTGCTGAAAGTAAGTCATCATATTGTATTAGAGTTAGTATTATTTAATTTGCACGTATATTAATAATGCTGTTCAAATAATTTATTCAATGTATGTATATAGAACAAGCTAAATCTGCCGGCTCAACAATGCAGTTTTTATTGACGATAATTTGTCAGGACACCGATAAACTTATTGATTTGGACGATAATTGTGCATTCATAACTGGAACTGTTTCATGTCGAGCCTTGTCACCTGATCCATTACTCGTGACCAGAGGAAAATTCCGTCTTTTCGTACCTGAACCTGATAGTGTTGACTCAAATAGAATGATTTACAACTTGAATTTATTGGCTACTGATGGGTCAAAATATCGATTTAAAGGATTCAAATTGGTTAATAATTCAAATGTTCTTCATGCCTGGTATCAGACAACCGCTCTATTTGTCTCTGTTTACCTTAGAAACAAAAAAGATGATGATCTTGAACTTGATGAAATTAATGCAAATCAAGGGGGTATAGGAGAAGTGGATGATGATGAAGATGAGAATTTACAAATTGTTGGTAGAGGAATTTTAAGAATAAGACCATTTGATTTCTTTACACAACTTAGAACGATTGAGGTAATTTTTTTAAAAAAATTTTTTTTTGATTTTTGATAAATATTTATCGTTATTTATTTATTTATTTTTTTGAATTATGGTAGGCGTCCGGAACTAAAAGGAGTTCAGCGTTCTTATCATTCCATCGATTCTTTGTTATGACTTTAATGAAACATTCTTTTGCTATACTACGCAGTTTGGAGTATCCAACCACTTTATCCGCAAAACTATTAACCCATTCAAAATTTATAAGGCCAAAAAAGATAACTTATACCATCACATCTGAGGATGGTATCAAGTCAGCATTACATAGATATGAAGGTGGAAGAAAAGGTCCTGTATTATTGGTAAGTTAATAATTAATTATTAATTGATTAATTAATCTATTCTTTTATTTTATTTTATTCTAATAATTTTATAATATTATTAGACACATGGAGCAGCAATGACTTATGAAATGTGGTCTACAGATTTTTCTAAAAACAATTTATTGGATTATCTTTTGGAAAATGGATATGACGTTTTCTTAAATGATTACCGTCTTGCACCAACAAATGCAGCAGTGCATGATCAACATACTGTTGATAAAATCATGTTGGATCAGGTAGCTGCTGTTAATGAAGTTCGTAATATTACTGGTGTTGAAAAAATTGCTGTTATAGCACATTGTGTTGGTTCTCTTATTACTTTTATGGGAGTATTAAGTGGTCAAATTAAAGGTGTAGGAACAATTATTTGTTCTTCTACGGTATGTAATAATATTATTGTCAGGAATATTAGGAATGATTAGAATACTCTATGATTTACGTAAATTGATATATGTATACATATCTTTTATGAATACATTTATATTTACACTTTCTCTCTTATACACACACACACACACACATATAGTCAATGCATCCATATCTTGGATTTTGGAATAGAGTAAAAATGAATTTGAGATTAATTGATGTTTATAAATATGTTTTACGTCGACCAGCATTTGATGTAAGAACATCGGCTGACACCAATTTCATTGATCGAATCATCAATCAACTATTAAGATTTTATCCAGTACCAAAAGGACAAGTGTGTCGAAATGCATTGTGTCTTAGAGCATCGTTATGTTACGGCACATTATATCAACATGAACATCTTACACAACAAGTTCACGACTATCAACATCAATTCTTTGGTTCAGTGAATCTAACTACACTCAAGCATCTTTTCACAATGGCTCGTAAATGTAAATTAGTCGATTACAATTCCAAAGATATATATGTTATTGATGAAAATGTGAAAAACAATTTAAATTTCCCTATAACATTTATTCATGGTGATAAAAACGTTGTGTAAGTATATAATACATATATATATATATATTACTACGTTAATTATTATTTATAATGTTTTTTGTTTGAATAAAATTTTAATTTATTATTTATTATTTTATAGGTTTGAGTTAAGTTCAACAAGAAAATCATATGATTATATTCGTCAAATAAATGATCCCGACAACTATAGTCTTCGTGAGATTGATGGATATGGACATCTTGATGTTTGGTGGGGAACTAACGCAATAAAGGATGTTTATCCAATAGTTTTAGAACATTTGGAAAAAAATAAAGATAAATATGGCTATCATTAAATGATTAGGTCACTTGTATTTATTTAATATAATATATATATAGTGCATGTAATATTATATATTTATAGTGCATGTAATATTAGATTTAATATTAAGGGGTTTAAGAATTAATTAAATATTTAAATATTTTACTTTTTAGAAGTTTTATTAATAATATTTTTTTCCAAGACTATTCATTACGTATCAATTGATACAATAATCTGATTTGTTCACTCATGTAAATATTTTGATTAAGAATCATAAATTAATCACGTTTTGAACACATCCAACCTAAGACAGAAAATAATCATCAGCAACCTATACATTGCATAATGGATGGTATTATATATGTAAAGTATTATTTAGAGCCAACTTTGGATATACAATTCTCTTTGTGAAACTAACTGGCTAGAATTTTTACCTCGACCCAAAAACTAATTGTTGTATGGCATATTTGTCTAAAAATATCAAGTTTTAAGACCTTTTCCTGTCTCTATTAAGGGGCGAAAAATTAATTTTATTTAAATGCCTCTATAAAGTGGGTATATAGTAAAAAATAACCCAAGTAAATAAATTTTAAAATCAAATTGTCTCCATTTTTTGTTGAATTTTTCAACATAAAAAGAACGAAAGGAATGATTTACTATGGCGGGGAATTTTTACGGCCATGCTGAATTTTGTTAATTGAATGAAACAATCTGTCAATGACATGATCCTAAACTCCAAAGCAATTATTGTCTCTTTAACTGGTTGAACTACTTTGATATGTTCTTCAACGTCTTTAAAAAACTCTATTCCTAAATAAATTTCAGGGTTTTGTTCAAGGATCTAAAAATAAAAATTATAATTATTATTGTTATTATGAATTTATTGAAATTGAAAATATCATACATTAGGTAAAGAACTTTCACATCTCCGAATTGATGCAAGTCATTGCCAGGTAGTTGTCCATCTTGTTTTTTAGAATATCCTTTTAACCCACCATCTGCGATTATGTTTTCAATTATATCTTTAGACAACACATTTTCTGTTTGATGTGTGATTGTCGAAAATAAGTAACCAGCTTCTTCATGCAGTACTTGGTGGTTTTTGGAAAATAGATGTTTCATAATATCAGTCGTTAATAGATTGTTATGATGTGCGATGCATCCAACAGGAATGATATGGTTGAATGAATGTGTTTTGGTTAACTAATTCTAATTTTTTAGCAGCGACCATTATCTGATACAATAGAAGAAAATTTTTCTGGTCCTAACTCTTTAATCACATTCCAAATATTTTTTGAGAAATATAACCAGCAGTGTGAGAATCCAAAGATAGGCCTTCTAATGATTAAATATATTCTTTTCTAGATGGTAAATGTATCTTCCGGATGAACTATTAATACTAAAAAACAATCAAGTAATTTTTATCAGAAGGTTCTATATATCTTCAAGGATTGTACTAGTAACATTTACTAATTCTTGATTAATCCAAAAACTTGAAAAGGTAATTAGTTATATTAGATAGCTGATAACCTGAAAGAAATCTACAAAAAAAAAAGATCTCATAGCATACAAAAAACCTAGTAAATCAATGCCCGATTGTATCTTTGTTCTTTAGCACTATCAATTTTGTTTGATTGTATTTTAATGCTAGTTGATCTACCATCTCATGAGCCTTTCCTTTTCAACCATGAGCTTGACATATATAGTCTGTATGGCCATTTTTTTAATGCCGTTATTGGATTTATTTTTTCCATTTTACCATGTATTTTTCTTAAAAATAAAAAAAAGAATAAATCATCATTTTAAAATGGGATGATATTTTTTTCTCGGTAAAATGCAATTCCTATCCAAAATTGTTTCTTGTTCACACATGCGGATTGTCATGTGTTTGTCGGTTGAAGCTTGCATCTGGTCTACGCTTTTCTTTTATTGATTATTATAATAAGAAAATAAAAAAAGGCAAAGTTTTTTTTTTTCAATAAATTTTTATAGTTACCCTTATTATATACAATATGATTTTATTTTTTTAAACATTTGCCATTGTATCAATAATTTGCTTCCCAAAATGTATGCACCTAGCATAAAGTTTATATATTCATTTACAATTTTGTTTTCTGTTCCTATCATCTGATAACATACGTCTACAACTGATCATTTGGTTGATGTATTCAATATTCAATACTTTTTACCTTGTTCCTTCCGAAGATTAAAAAGATCAATTCTAAAACCATTTTCCAAGAATTATTTCTTGTTAATAAAAATCAAGTTGGAATTTTTATGCAATAAAATTTTTCTGACCTTAACGGGTTTACCAAGTTCATTTTCTGTCTAACCATACAATTAAATTGTTATTGTGATCGGCAAGATTGATGTTAAGTTTTTTTTTGGGTTAGTTACAAAATAAATTTAAGGTAAATTTATATATATAATAATAACAAGTTTATTTACGAGTTTGTTGTGGAAACAAAACTAACGATTTATATATTTACGCGTCTTTGTAAATCACAACCTCGTTTCAATAAAACTACTATTACTATGTGGGCACATAAGAAAATTGCATATATTAAAAAAACTCGTTGTAACATGAATTTAATCATTATAAAAAAGAGGCATTATTTGTAAAAAGAAAAAAGAAAAATGTACGATTCAAAAATCAACTATGCGCAGCACAAGAAATAAACTATTATTACTATAGTGAACAAGTCACTTGGTCACCGAACTTTCTGCGCCAGAACACAGATTTGATAATGTCGAATTTGTGGTCGCGTGATTTAAAATTCGAGAATGCGATCATTTCTTTGTTTTGCTTAAAAATAATAATTTTAATGGTTAAAAGAATAGTCACGCGATCACAAAAAACCAATAAATTAATTAAAATAATTAGTAATTCAAATTTTTTTTGATTTATGAAATTTATGGAACAAGAGCTCTCTGGAATAAAAGTGTCAATTTCACTAAAAATCCATCCGCACCTCCCATGCAACCAGTGGATTTTTCTTTCGAGTTGCCACGAAAATTAAAAGCATTTTCATCATCAACTAGAAAAAAAGAAAAAGAGTCACACTAAAGTGACAATTGTTCAAATGTGACAATTCTTCCGATTCGTAATATAAAAATTTTTGCCAATTTTGGGTTTAACATATATAACAACAAAAATGAAAATCATCCATTTTGAGAATTAAAGGATCTACGCAGCCAAAGTATAGCGCTAACTATTATGATTTTGGTCTGGGGTCTGATGATTATTTGCTAATTCATTTTTGATCACTTCGATTGCTGTAAAATCACGTGATAATGTTTTTTGGATTCTTCAGCTTGGAAACTTAAAAGAAATACATAAATAAATTTATATTATTGGAATTAAAAATTTATTACAATCAATTAATTGAAAGAATTATACAGTGATTGTATTTAACTTCAATATATATCGTATAATTAAAGATCCGATTTTTATTAATGATAAGTTTGAATTTGAAAATCAGATTGTCACAAATTATCACTATTTTCGAAACGAACCTATTTCGCCATCGTGTATGAATTTGATAAGATGCGTCTCCGTAATCTCCGCAATCTTTGAATTCCGAGCGGGTTTGTGTTACATCTCCACAACACTGGGGCAACGAACCTCATCATATACCATATGATATACTAACTAAATATGTTAAATGTTTTACGAAAATCAAATTTCGGACATTGTGCTCCATATAAGGATTATAAATGAAGTTACCCGACAAACAAAGAATTTTGTGCATATTATGAAATAAGTAAATTCTACTGGACAATGTATGCTTACTAATAGTAACAGTAATGGTTATTGTCACAAATAAAATTTCGAACCCTAAAATTTTTCTTTATATAAAAAATTAATTATATTGAAAAAAATGCTTTTCGATAAAATGTATGTATACATACAATGATATCAATCAAATATATCAAATAGAAAAGACAGTTATTTTGAAAGGGTCTTTTGACACTATTAAAGTATTCCAAGCTATATTGAATAATATGAAAAATGGAAGAGATTGCTTTTATTCTAGAAAATGCAATAAGGAATAAATAAGAAATAATAAGGATAAGGATAAGGATACGCTATTAATATTCTAATAAAAATTTCAGCTGCACCAAAGTACTCACAGTATTTTATTGATTGAAGATTTTTATTTAGATAGAAAATATGAATAGGATTAAAACAATCGACTGCACGGATGCTTAACAGTTAGGACGTTGAAATGAACGAATATAAGATATAAAATGAATCTATTCACAGAAGGAAAGCACGGTAGGACACAATGTCAACTATTCCTATTGTTCTTCTCATTATAATATATTGTCATTGTTGTTGTTGTTGTTATTATTATTATTATTATTGTTGTTGTTGTTTACTTATTCTATGCACAAAATTGCTGTTCTATCAGCCTCGCCATTTTGTAAAAATGGTCCAAAACAGTAGGTGTTCATTGTAATACAGATTCAGATTATCCTGACTGGTTTTACCATTTGTATTGATATATGTTGACTTTGTACTGGTTTCTCATGCAAGTGCATTTTTGACACGTCCTTTAAGATTTGGAGGGCTTCACCCTACTCCATATTTAAATGGTTTCTCAATCTATGATAATATGCAATAGTCACTTGCAAGATTAATAGTATGCACCTCAGCCGACTTATGAGTCAAGAATTTCCGCTGATGCTGGCCAAACTGATTTGTCGAGCATTGACTGGAGATTGATAGGAACATGCCTTGGGTATATAGCAAGTAAATAGTTTGCTCTCTCTGTAAGTCACTCTTGGTGCATAATCTCAATATATGTTGCCGTGTGGTGTTAATTCTACTGTTCCCTATTTAGTCAAGCTATGTTATTTTATTATTCTACTGTTCTCGTTGAAAACCAAACGTTTTAAATGGATTGATTGAACTGATTAAAATGTTATTGGATTTATTAATTAATTAAAATTAAACTATTTGTTGCTAGTTACGCAACGTTGAAAGTATAAATCTTAATTCTAAATAAGGTTATCAGGTGGTTTATAGTTATAATACAGTGCAACGTCCAACCAAATACTAATTCTTCACGAAAGTCATTAAATACAATTCTCCAAAATTGCTTGCATAAGTTCTTTAATATATTTGTTACTGTGACAATTACCTATAAAAACTATGTTTGAAGATTTATTCCATTCATTCCAATAAAGTTGGGTATATTCAATTAATATATAATTATTTTTAAAAATTGTACGAATAAACAATTTACCACATTACTGTATTTAATAATAATAACAATAATAATAATAATGTCCACCATTAAAATTAATTTGTAGCTATAAATATTTGAAAACCAATTATATGGATTTGGTGATTAAACAAGCCAAGCAAGCAACATCTAAATATTTTAAATTGGTTTTCTCAATTTAGAATATTTTATAATTACCTTTAATTTAACAACTTTAAAAAGGAAGCAATACCCCTCATTCATTTTCAACATTTCCATTAATTAAAAATCTCGGTGATTTTCATAATTAAATGATTATCCAGTCAATAATGGTTTATTAACCAAGTCAGGATGAATGAAATCAACTAATACCTTTGATACTGTTATTTAAAACGGACTTATATATTCGTTTCACATCAATGCCTATTAACCAAAAACACTTTTAAATGACGGATAAATTTCTTTTAAGGTATCCATATGGGTAATTAACTCAATTTCCCAAATATTGATTATTGTGTATTACAAATAAAAAAATTAAATATAAAATGTATGTGTGTCACTTGAACTCTCCAAGTGTGTGTGTGAATTAACATAAAGGTTTGCTTTTTATTTTTTATTATAATATATTGATTGATAAAGAATAAAAAAAGTAATATATGTGTGTATGTGTGTATATGCGTCATAATGACAATAATAATTTTAATGTAATTATTAACAAAAAAAAAGTGATTGATAAATCAAACAATGGGGCAAGCCGATTCACGGCCTTTACAAGAAATGGTTGAAAATAGTAATTGTAAATATCAAGCGAGAAATATAATATTAATTTTTTAACAATGACATTTTTATTTATTTGTTTTTTTACGCTAACAAATATTGTTTTTCTTTTTCCACTACTACCTCACCTTTCCTTTTCCCTTTTCCCTTTCTATTTGTTATATAGTTACCGCCGAAGAAATACAAAGACTTTACAAAAGATTTATGAAACTTGATAAAGATAAGTCAGGTTCCATAGATCGAGAAGAATTTCTTTCTATTCCACAAATTGCCAATAATCCATTAGCATCAAGAATGATTGCTATATTTGATGAAGATGGGGGTGGAGATGTAGATTTCAAAGAGTTTATTGCTGGATTGAGTGCTTTCAGTTCAAAAGGAAACAAAGATGAGAAATTACGTTGTAAGTAAATATATTTATAATTTGATGAATGTGCATTGCAAAGTTATATATCATTTATTAAATATTTTACACACCATTACATATTATTATTGCATAGGAAACAATATTACATATTATTATTACATTACTAATGATTACCAAATTATTATTACATTAAATAAAAAAACAGTTGCCTTTAAGGTATATGATATGGATAGAGATGGACTCATTTCCAATGGTGAATTATTTATTGTATTGAAGATGATGGTTGGCAATAATCTTAAAGATAATCAACTTCAACAAATTGTTGATAAAACGATTATGGAAGCTGACAAAGATATGGACGGAAAGATTTCTTTTGAAGAATTTTATTCAGTAGTAGAGTCAACTGATATTGCAAAAAGTTTGACATTGAACGAATTCTAGTTAGTAAAATTGGTAGCAGTGTGTCGTTTGTTTATTTTTTTGGATGAGTAATTTATTTAAATAAAAAAAAGTAAATAAATATATGAGTGTAAATTTTAAATTATTTTTTCTTAATTCATTTTCTTTGTCCAAGACAGCGTTAGTGATTCAATAGCTAGTGAATGAGTGAGTGAGTGAGCTATATAGTTAATTAATGAGGATAATAATAAAGATGGATCAAAGATAAAAAAAAAATTTTTTTAAGATTATTAACTAATCGCATTTATTCATACACCACCCATGCATCATCATCATTTATCATCCATCACTCACTCACCAACCCACCCATCTAAAATCTTGTTACAAATGTATGTATATATATGCATGTATGCATCTCGGAAATTTTTTTTATTAATTAAAAAATAAATAAATATATCAAAGTAAAAGAGAGGGGTGAAAATTTTTTTAAAGAAAAGGAGGAAAGATGTATTTTTTGATCAATAATAAAATAAAAAAGATAAAAAAAAAGGTATATCCAGGGGGGTTTCTAAATATATAGTAAATAGTAAAGATTGTTTTTTTTTTTTTTTTGCACATGAATAACCACGTGCTTCCATCCCCATTTTTTTAAAAAAATTTTATTTGAATTATTTGGGGTGTTTACAAATAGATAAAAGGGAATTAAAAAAAAATATGGTTATTGCTATTGTTATTACTACTACTAGCATTGACACACAATACGTGCGTGACCAAGAAAAATGAATGTGTGTAGTGGGGTGTGGGACTAATTAATATGTATTTGTAAAAAGAATGAGGAGAATAGAGGCAGATGAATGAAAAAAAAAAAGATTTGAATAATTATATACATTATATGAAGATGAATTTAGAAGATATTTATATAAATATGAATTGTGTAAGAATTGTAGAAGAAGAGGGTGAGTGGGTACAAACAGTTACCTGTTTTTTTAAAAAAAGTGACTCTTTTCAATCAATCAATCAACAAATCAGCAAATATTAATATTTATGATTACCATCTTGATACATTTAGAAACTGTAATAGTAATAGTAAGCAAGTAGTAATAAGATTTTTAACCGGGTTAATAAAAATAAAAAATAGGAATAATTATTCTCTGTCTAGGAAAAATTTTAGGTGAATGAATTTGTGTAAATAATTATCATCATTAAGGTAAGTGTATCTTTTTTTTAAAAAAAAAATAGTAGTATACCAGAATATATATAAAATAATGTAGTAATAATAAATTTGTTTGACAAATAAAATAAAAATAAATGTACAAAAAGGGTGCACAAAAAACAATTCAAAAAAAAGGGGATTTTTTTATTTATTATTATCAAATATAAATAAATAAATAAGTAAATAAAATAACAACGCCATTCCTTCTTTTTTTGAAAGAAAACTAGTTTCTATTAAATAATTGATCTTAAAATAAAAAAAATTTTTTTTCTATTGTACTCTTTATTTTACAAAAATACAACAATTTGTGTTCGGTTTTACTTGACCAATAAATTTACTATTTTAGTATTTGATCGCGAGTTTTGAGCTTAAAAAATGGATTAAGTCTTAATAATTGGAGAATTGACAAATAACAAGTTATTTATTATGTCTATTCTTATTTAATATTATTAATAAATAATACAAAATTAGTCACGTGTCGTTTTTAAAACTCTATAAATATGACCCAAATCCCCCAACCCTCTCATGAATTTCCGACTCACGGCCTCGTCCCTTAAAAAATAAATTATAAAAAAAAAAATAAATTTTTTTTAAATATAAATAATTTTTTTTATCAATCATTATTTATTACAAAAAAAAAAATTTTAAAAATTTATAAATACCTGTAAAAAAAATTTTTTTTTTTTTTTATAAAAATTTATTTTTTTAATTAAATAATAAAATCGAAAACTAAAAAACAACTTTATTACCATCATTTATTCAACGACAGCGACAAATAACAAATTAACAATCAATCACCACCGTTACAATTTAATAACTAATTTTCGATCTTGTCTTTATCTCACTCACTATTTTTATAATCTCAAATCAAATCAAATAAATAAAAATGAGTAATATTAACACACTTTCATCCACAACGACATCAACGATGATTCAAAATTCTGAATATGGCACAACAAATAATATAATCCCAATGCCTTCGTCTTCAATGCCTCCGTCTTTTGTAAATACTAACAACAACCAAAATTTAAATCAAAATTATATTAACCACAACAGTCATCAACATCAAAACATACAGAATTATCATTTACAAATACAACAACAACAACAACAACAAAATCACACCAATAATATTCTAAACAATAATCCAATATCAGTTCCTACAACACCGATTGACAATTCATTTGTGTTATCTTCTAATCTTTCTGATGATCAAATTGCCGGTGTTGCTGATCAAACGACTCAAGCACAACAAAGCGTTACTGGAATCGTACCCACATTACAGTAAGTTTCCGAATTATTTAATGGGGATAAAATGATAATAAGACAATGTAAAGCTAGATTATTAATCGTTATCTCTTTGATTTTCTCTTCGCGTTTACCTTATGTTTACCATCATCCCTCTTCTCTTCATCACCCTTCATCAATTAATAGAAATATTGTTGCTACAGTGAATCTTGATTGTAGACTTGATCTTAAAACTATTGCACTTCATGCAAGAAATGCAGAATACAATCCAAAGGTACTATACCACATATTGCTATGCTTGTAAATATTATATGTATATTATATACATTATAATATATGTATAATGTGTATATATATATTAGCGTTTCGCTGCTGTAATTATGCGTATCCGTGAACCGAAGACGACAGCTTTGATATTTGCCTCAGGCAAGATGGTTGTCACAGGTGCCAAATCAGAAGATGATTCTAAACTAGCAAGCAGAAAATATGCTCGTATCATTCAGAAACTTGGATTTAATGCAAAATTCACTGATTTTAAAATTCAAAACATCGTTGGTTCTTGCGATGTTAAATTTCCTATACGTTTAGAAGGTTTGGCCTATTCTCACGGACATTTCAGCAGTGTAAGTGAAATTCTTTTTTTTTTTTTTTTTTTTTTTTTTGGAGCAAAAGAAATTTTTCCACGAAACTAATTACTTGCAGTTTTATTTTTATATAGTATGAACCAGAATTATTCCCTGGTCTAATTTATCGTATGGTAAAACCAAAGATTGTCCTTTTGATCTTTGTATCAGGAAAAATTGTATTAACTGGAGCAAAGGTAATTCTCCATTTAATATGGAACTCGTTGTGATATTCATCCATTTATGTATGATTGATTGATTGATTTACTTTGTTTATTTAGGTTCGTGAAGAAATTTACCAAGCATTCGATTCGATTTATCCAGTATTAACGGAATTCAGAAAGCCATAAAAACAAAAAAATTCTTTTCAAAAAAAAAAAAAAAAAGTATTTTAATATTAAAAAAATGCGGGTAAAAAAAACGATGAAAAGATGTTGGAAATTTTATTATAGCAATAGCATTATTTTATTTTTTTATAAAAAAAAAAAAAATTGCCAATTAGACACTATTAATTAATAATAAATGAGTTTTCTGTTAATGCACACGAGGGAAAGGAAAGATAGAGAAAATGCAAAGAAAAAAAAAGAGAAAAATTTATTATTATTATTATATTATTCGAGCTTTTTAATCATTTTAACTACAATTTTTTTCTTTTTTAAAATTTTTTATTTTATTTTTTCCTAATTACAAAAACCAAAATCAAAAACTATATTTGAGACACACACACAGCACAACATCATCTTTATTTAGATAGATGATAGTCACTTCATTTCTTTCATTAGAATAATAATAATCTCCAAACAACATCAAAAACAATTACATTATTATAATATACATAACACGCGTATTATTATAATATGCATGTGTCATATATATTATATATGAACATCATTAATTAAAGAGACAATGATGTTTTGTATCTCACATATCTCACATAATATATTTGAGATTTGAGATTTGGTTTTTTTTTTACAAAAAAAAAAAAATTATATAAATATCGTAAAAAATTTTATCACTTTAAAAAAAAAGTATTTTTTGTACATAATTAAATTTTTTTTCTTTAAATAATTTTTCAAAAATCAATAATAAAAAAAAATTTTATAAATATATAAAGAAAAAATCATCTATTTCTTATCATTGTGAAACTTTTCTTTTCCAAAAAAATTAAATAATGATCTAAAAAAAATAAATTTTTTGTCCATCACTTTTATTTAAAAAAAATTTTATAACATTGCAAACAATTGTAATTATCTTCCCTTTTGAAAAAAAGAAAAATGAGCACTAAAACAACATTTCAAGAAGGTTTATCCTTTAAAACTTTAAGTTTTTCACCCAAATCTGGTCAAGAAAAAAAAGACTCGGCTATTATCGTCTTACAAGAATGGTATTATTTGAAATTGAATGCATGCATTACCTGAATTATTGAATTATTTCAAAAAAAAATTAATAAACATAGGTGGGGAGTTAATGAACAAATTAAGAAACACGCTCAAATTATTGCAGATAACACTAATTCATTGGCTATAGTTCCAGATCTTTATAAAGGAAAGCTTGGATTATCTCGTGAGGTAAATATTTAAAACATTTTATCTATTATTATTACATACATTTATTAATTAATTATTAATATATATATATAATAGGAAGCAAGTCATTTGATGTCGGTTAGTTTAATCAAATTAATTGATATATATATATATATATATATATAAGATTTTTATTTTTATTATTTTCACGATCTGTATTAAATTTAAATCTAAATATAAAAGAATTTAGATTGGAAAGAAGCTCTAGGAGAATTGGAAACCCTTGTTGATTCTTTGAGAAAAGAAAATCGAGTGTAAGTTTAACAACAACGATAATTAATTAATATATATACATCACATATAATAATGATGATAACAATGCTCATTAACGGTTTAGGAAAATTGCATCGATAGGATTTTGTATGGGTGGCGCAATGAGTCTTGCACTTGCTGCTCGTCTTTCACAAAGTAAACCATTAGCAGCTGCTATTGCATGTTATGGTACTCCATCTCCAGCCATTGGTGATGTGTCTGTTATTCCATTAAAAACACCTGTTCAAGGTCATTTCGGTAAAAAAGATGACATTGCTGGTTTTAGTGATCCAAATGCCGGTAATAATGAACAATTATGATTGTGATTTTCTAGTCTAATGATTTTTCTTTTTTTTCTTTTTTCTTTTTTTTTTAACAACTAACTAAACATCCAATAATTTTCCAAAAATAAATTAAACAAAAGCAAATTCACTCGAACGCTTACTTAATGAAGGTATCAAAAGAGAAGGTGTTACTGGTAAAGAAATTGCAATTTATCATTATGATGGACAGGGCCATGCTTTCTTAAATAACGAAGAATTTGCCATCAAAGGACAAACTTATCCTACCGGAGATAAAGATGCCCAAGATTTGGCATGGAATCGGATTTTCGAATTCTTAAAAAAATATTTGTAAATAATATGAATAACAATTGATTAGTAATTAACAATAATAAAAAACATTAAATTTTGAAATTCATAAATGAATATATTTTTCTATTGTTTACAAATGAAAATGTAATAAATAAATAAATAAACAAGTAGTTTGTGGCGTTTTATATTTTTATTATAAATGAATAATAACATCATACGTGTAGGAATAAAGATTCGAGAAGCAATTTTCAGGTTTTTTCTTGTTAGTTTTCTTTTATTTCCATTTTTCAATTTTCATTCATTCTATCACTTATTTTCCTCATAGTCTAACGGAAAATATTTACCGGAAAAAACTACTTTAATATTAATTAATATTCATTTTCTGATATCTCCATCTCTCGCATTCACCATTATTATTTGTTGTGAATGCTAGCCTAGCATGTCAAGCTTAAGATTCATTACTTTTTCCAAATTTTGAAAATAAATAAATGCTTGTTATAAAAATAATTAAACGAAAAAATATAAAAGTAATTTAATCTAAATAAATGTAGTAGGGCGAGTAAGTATCTTTTTCTTCATCAAGTATCAAAAGGAATTTTAAAATAATAAAATGAAAATTACAATACTTTTAATATTTTAAATGTATTTTTTAATTATAATAACTTAATAATAGCTCTCAATTAATGGACATTAGTTTTCATGGCACATTTTATTCAATAAAAAAATTTGTTCTTGGGTGAATCAAGTGATTGTCAATTTTGGTTTCTCTGCTCAAAAAAACAACACTACCCGTTATAGAAATTGCTCCGTCCTCATCAGTACCTCGTTTCTCAAGGCTTCATTAGCATCATCAGTATCGTGATCAGATGTCATTTTACGTTTAATAATAATAGGTGGCTCAAAATCATCGAACTTTGGCATCTGCAGACTATGGATCATTAGTGTATTCTATCAATGCAAATTCTTTGATGCTTGAGATCCGTTGACGAATCTCAATTGACTCCATCCTTTATTGCAAATACAATTACTGTACAACAACAAGACCGTAATAAAGCATTTGTACTGAGCAAAGAGTCCCCATTTTAACTTGGCTTTGTCATTATCATCGTTAGCTTTTACAAATCTTAACCCGAGCGGAACTCAATATGATTATAGTGCCCATTTAGTAGCATTTATATATAGAGTGATATTTGTCAGAGTTAATGAATGTAATGCACTAAAAACTAAAACCCTTGTCGAAAATCAAAATCATTGAAAAACAAAAACTAATAAATTTTTTTATGTTATCAACTAACAATTTAGGTTTTAATACAAGTTTTGACTTTTCTTTCTTTTTTGATATCTTCAATCTCCACATCATTATTCCCATCTTCTAGAATCTTCACTTTCTAAGTAATGATTGACTCTGTTTTCAAAATTGTCATTATTTTCAATCTGTAAACTTCCATTTCCATTAGGAAATATATCTTCCTGATGCAGGTTTTCAAATAAAGGTTGTCACTTCCAAATTCAATACTAGTATCTAATATATTATTATTTTCATTTTCCAAGTCATTATTCAAAATTATTAAAACTAAATCATTTGGGTTATAATTTAAACTATTATTTTGAATTCAATATCAGGAACTTTATCAGTTTCATTACTAGCATTATTGTTTTCATCAGCAAATAATATCATGTATTTTATTATAAAACAAAAAAAACAAAAAATTTCAATTTCATCAATAATTTTTACTTTCATCAAAATGGCACTTGGTGAGAAACTATCTTTAGTCGGTACTTTCATCACGTCAATGACTAAAGTCAAAATTTCGTCATACATCATCATTAATGGAAAGTAATAAAATCAGAAGCGGGTGAGTGAGATATTGATTTTTTAACTTATATTTAAAATTCAAAGAGATTTATTTGGATGAAAACGAAATTGGGAGTAAGTATACTTGGTTACTTCTTTTATAATATGAGCTCTAAGACAGAAATTGAATTGAAATTGTCTATTTAGATTTATGACGATAAACTTGGTGAAAAGATAAAACATCATCTTTCAATCATCTTAACCACCTTAATCTGCGTTTTATCAGCAAAAGACATGAAAAAGAACGTGCACTCAGGAAACTTTTTCTGGCGCAATGATTACACCATTTACATAAGTTACGTTGGGCACCATAATATTATGCAAAATCAAAAATCATGTAATTATCACATTCAACGTAAATATCACACAATTTTTATGCAAATTTCCTGATGAAACAAGGTTTTTGATGAGTCGGCAGTACACACAACTACATTTATGGCTTTATTTTTTATATTGTATAAAGGTCGTATCTAATCTAAATACATCTAGATTGATAGAAAATCTTGAGTTCAATATTATATTATCATTGATGGGTTCACACTCATTTAAACAAAATCCTCATTGTGCACAAGTTAAAAACTCAAAATTGGTAGAATATATAAGTGGATTAGATAGTACCATGAAAAACTCTGGGAACCTTCATTCCTATTTGAACAAACTTTCAACAAATTAGAATACCTTTCATATATACATCTTATTAAAAAAGGAGTGTCATTTGTATTTTCATAACAATCCAAGCAATGTTGTGTATAATTTGGTGTTGATGGAATCAACATTTTGGGAATATTTTATTTTTACAAGACAAATATCAAATAATAAAAAATTTCCACTATATACTGTTTTTAGATGTTATAATGAAAATTTGTGGTGATACACTGACTGATTTTGAGTAGTGTAATATCAATAATAAAAATTAGTATGACCAATTGTGATATGCATCAATGTCTGTAAGTAATCCATTAATTATGGTATGGTATGCATGTATATTTTTATTTTTATTTTTATAAATAAATTGTCAATGATTGGCACCTAAATTGTTTTCAAACAAACAAAATTCCTTTCATAGCTCGCTGTAAAACATGTCATTACTCATAACAAAATAAGAAATCCGTATCCGTAATGCAAGCAGGACCCGAATATATATGGTGACTTGTAATTTTTTACTAATAGTTCTACGCAATGGTTTTGATAATTGGGAAAAAACGAATTAATCTTCAGACTTTTGATTATCATGTGACTTTAGGCTGAACCTAGTTTTCAACAAATCATTTTTTAACTAATTTTTTATAAGCAAAATACAATATATATTTAATTATAAATTGTTTTTCTCCTTACATCCAGAACCTCAAACACGACATTCAAGATAATCATCATCCTATTTCCGGCCGAGTTTACCACAAATGTACTGTATAACACGAGCAACATATTTGTGCTTACAAAACTGGATTTTTTAGGAAAGAAATTTTTAACAATAATGCGAGATATGTATATCCTGCATAAAAATATTAAAATTAAAATATTAAAATTAAAATAGTCAAAAATACTTGGCCAAAAAAAGCTCAAATTCTATGTAAATAAAATCTGACCCCATCAGATGCTCTATGATGGCGACGTATTAGTGCATATTTCAGGGTCCTGTACAAGCTATCAATAACTTTTAAAAAAAATCCTTTTAATCTCGGTTCTAATTAGTTGAATGCGCGGTTATTCAACCACTGCTGGTTCAATCGGAACTGACCGTGCAGCATTCCATACTGACCCGAATATTTATTTTACATAAGGACATTTATTTATTTAAGATCTAAACATTTAAAATTCCTACGTGCAATCCTATTCCAATCAACATATAGTTAGTTAGACTGTCACCTTTTGATTGCCTTTTATTATCACTGAACAATTAAGGCTCCAAGTTGCACGAGTTTACTAGCCCCACACTCTTACTTTTTACTTCTATGTTGAAAAAAAAAGACGGACAATCTTTTCAAGAATTTTTTTTAAGCGAATTTCCAAATTTTTGAGTTTTGTAGTATTTTGGCAGTGTGATGCATAAATGGTGGCTATAGGCTACGCGCATCATACCAATGAATTAACGTGATGCTTCCATATTGATAAAAACTTTTTAAAAAATGCCTATTAAACTGAATATACATTGTAAAGAAGATCACTTGCAATATTCACAAGATATATGATATTATTCAAAGAAATTTATGTACCAGGTGTGTCATAATTCTGCACAATAACAAGTTTTAATTTCCTGACGTGCTTATTTACTGTATTCACCAAAAAATATTCGAAATATTCAGAAAGTCAGTTAAAGAAATGTGATTCTAAAAGGCAAACATATTATGCAAGTATCAAGGAGATTAAACAAAGCATCACGTAAAACTATTTGATAAGTATTCATTGAAATCTTTATTAACCAAATAATTATTCCATCCGACCAAGTTTTTAATAACACTCTGTATATTAATTTGTTCAAAGTTATGAGCTAAATATAGTTGTATAAAGTAAAATAATTATATATATTACATACCCTTTGGAGAAATATACATTTTTTGTATTCAGGGGTTTGTGTGGCGTATTCAGGGTCCTCTTTTGTTATTATAGAGGATCTGCATTGATTGAACTTTCTAAATTTCATTTCAAAAATGTCAGAAATAACAAATAGGAAAAGAAGAAAATTTACTGGTTATAATAATAATAAACGAAGGTCATATGATCCGTATCAAGAGAAAGGTTTTTTTATAATTATTATTTCATTGCAAAAATTAAAAGCCAATTTCTCTTACCTTACATTTCTTTGGGGAATTAGTCAAAAAAAACAAAAAGAAATTAATTTATAGAGCGAAAATAAAAAAAGATTTTTATAAAACTTTGAAAAAAGATGAAGATATTAAAAAGTTGCCTGATTTTTATAAAGAAGTAACATTTCATCATTAATATCATTATGTTGTATTATTTATTAAAAGATAGTAATTTAATTCTTCATTAATAAATATAGATTTTAAATAATGATGATGATAATGATGACAGTGGAAAAGAGTTTGAAATGTTAGAAAGAAAGAAAAGAAATAATAAAGAAGTAAGCAGTGATGATGATGATGATGATGAAAGTGATGATGAAAGTGCGAAAAGTAAAAGAGTAAAGCTGACATCAATAAACTCTTCAAATAAGAAGAAAATTGTTGAAAATAATAATGATGTGAATAATAATAACAAAAACATCAAAAAGGACGGCAAAGATGAGAAAGATGACGATGATGATATTTTGCTTCGTTCTTCTTCTTTGAACAAGAAAGTTGAAAAAGTAACTAATCTTTTAAACAAATAAATTTTTTTATTTATTTCCTTTTAACATCAACAACAACCGCAATGATAAATTTTCTCTCTTTTATAATCTTTATAATAATAATCTATTTTACCAAAAAAAAAAAACAAAAAAAAAAGAAAAAGTAAGGTTTAATCAATAAATCAATTAATCAATCAATAATTTATTAAATTAATGGTTATTGGCTATTACTATTAGGAAATCAACGAAACCTAACCCTTTTAAAAAGATTATTGATGAACAAAACCTTTCAAGACAAGAAAGATTAAAAATGTTAGAGGTAATTTATGGCTGTAATTATTATTGAAATTATCATTTGGTTTATGATTGAGATTATTTAATGAAGTTATTAATTACTCCTCATTTATTACAGGAAAGAAAAAAAGAAAAACAACTTCAAGCAGAAAAACGAAAAGTTTACAAGAAAAAAAGAAATCAAACTAAAAAACAATTTTTTAAACTAACTGCAAAAGGTCAACCTGTGATGAAAACTAGAATTGATAATTTATTGGAAAAAATAAAAAAGATCACTTAATAAATCATTGTATGAAGTGTTCATAATTTCAAATTATCATGCTTTATTTTATAATAGGTTATTTGACATTACACAAAGTTTTTTTTTGGCTATGATGGCATTTTAAAAGAAATTTTAAAATAAATAAATTGTAGAATTGAATGGTGGTGGGTGGATCATCATTTTGTTGTATTTGCCATTTACATCTTCTAATGAATTGATTATTTCAAAAAAATTTCGGGAACAGGTTTTACAGTTTTCATGATGATGATAAAAGTATAACCTAAGCTAAATTTAAATTTATCATATGTATGTCATATTTCTTTATTTTGACATATTCATCCAAATTGTTCTGGTAATCTATAATTTGTCATCATCTGGTCAATTGATGCTAAAAACAAATTTGGCTTGAGAACACTCAAATTTATAAGATTGTTTTGCATTCCTCCATATTTAATTATAAATTTCAATTTCACAACAAGATCAAATCGATTCTGTTTATTGAAAACTGTAGAAATTTTCTTTGTTCCTAGAAATTTTAGACAAATGCTCAAAAATATTTATTTTCTAGGTTTAGGTTTTGTATAAGCTTTATTATAATTAACTTTGATATGAATCAAAGGGAAAGAACAAGTTTCGACTCTCAACAACAATGTGATGATAATAATGCTGGCACTATTGGCAATGATAGTATGGTGCACGTCATCTAAAGATGACACTAAAATTGACAATTTTTGAAAGCCAATAACTTTCAAATTAGGAAGTTTAGAAAAAAAGTAAACCGATAGAATTAAAGCTAAAGACATAAGGTCCATTTCTATCGGTTTACTTTTTTCATTATCATAAAAATTTGTGGAGTTATTATGGTTCAAAATTGAAGCATTTTATATAGGTCTATCTATGTAAATTTTAAAATTTCGGACTCTTTTTATTGGCCAATTTATTTTTAATCATTCTGATTTGTTGTACGATCACATGGTAATATTGTTGGAACGCGATTTTGAATTAAATTCCTTAAACTGTTACATTTTTAAATAATTGAAAATATAGCTAATTCGCAATTTGCGATAAACGGTAGTAAAATGCAGGGATAATAAATAATAGGAAAATCCTATATACAGGACCGGTCCTGTATATAGGATCACCCTAAATAATAATATTGATAATGGACATTCGTTTATCACATCATACGGGCCAATTTTTTTGATCGACATCCTGTGACATTTAAAAATTGATTATTTTTATATATTAAAATCACAAGT